TATTAATTATATATTGGATTGATAGTGCTTATCTTAGTGGTGCATAAAATATTGGTGCATTTTTCAATTGATGGTATTTCCAATTCAAGTAAATATAAACATGGGTAAAGATATAATTAAAGGGGGCAATCTAATTCCTTAAGTACTTCATAAGTTTGTCTGTTATTTCATAATTCATTCAATAAAAGGTACTTGTGATTCCTAGATTCTAAGGGTAATAAGCAAAGACCCTGCTTTCAACAGAGCATAAAGCAGGCTTGGAAAACTGACAATTAGATATTTAAATATTGTGGTATATTATAAAAGCAAAGGAAGTATGGCACACCTGTCCCTGGGGAAAGGGTTTCATTATACTCCAGGAAGTTTCTTAGGAATGACATTTATGTGGAGAATTAAGGATCAGCAACAGTTGGAATAACTACTTATGCAATGGCTTGGAGGAAATTTCAGGGAGATAGATAACAGAGGAGCTGAAAGAAGTTTAAAAATCTTGAGAAAAGGAATATATTCATCTAATTTTCAACTCTTGATGCTTTACTGTACTTGCTTGGAGAGTGAATACAATTAGCTTAATGCAAATTCAAGTACACCATTTTGTGTTTCAAACAACAAAATAACAGTACAGGTAATAATAGTATTTAGTCTCTTATAATTTTCTGTTTTTAACATGAGCTATTTTATTCTACTGCAGTTATTTTAAGGGACATAAAAATTTATCAAGATGTAAATCTCAGTAGGATGTTTTTAGGATTGAGGTGGAGGAACAAAGGCAGAGGATCATCTGTCTAAAGAAGTAGGATCAAGTTGGGCAAGATGGCACATGCCTGTAATCCCAGCAGTTTGGGAGGGTGAGGCAGGATGAATTCAAGTTTGCAGCAACTTAGCAAGACTCTCTCAAAAAATTAAAAAATAAAGGACTGAATATGTAGCTCAGTGTTTGTTACAGGGCCCCTGGGTTCAAGTCCCAGTAACCCCCCAACTCCCGGCCAGAAGTCAACTTTTTGATCTGGAACTGTGTCCCCACAAATCATGCATTAGAATCTTGAATCATGACACACAGAAGAAACATAGGTAAACTAGTATAGCAGATAGATTTATTACTCTCATTGCTTATTTACTAAACAACAAACAAAAATCCTTCAAATTCATTGCTACCTTTACAGACATCATAATGACCAAGGAAGTTTTCAGCATCTTTGGTGACTCCTAACTCCTAATATCACATTGTCTGACCCTGGAGACAATTTCTTTGGTTTGGGTAAGTGATTTCCTCTCCATATTCAGCCATCTCCTCACTGGAGTTCATTTCAAACATGGAATCCTGCCTGTGCAAAAGGTCTCAGAAAAAGACCCTAAATGTTTATAGAGTATGGAGACATACATAACTCACTTAGGGTAATTCTATGTGTTTATGTTAATAAACATTCTTATTTGTGTTATACTTGGTGTAGGGTGGATCATCATCTAATTTCACTGTACACCAAAAAATCATGAAAATAACACTTGCATTATTAACTAGAACCTTATTAAAATTTTTTTAGATGATTATATTTGAATTTCACAGAGGATAATCAAGAGGGGAGTAGACTTACATTAGGCAGACTGTATAGCATATTTCCGAAAATGAATTTGAGGTCAGGGATCTGAATTGAGTTAAATTTGTCATTTACTTTTGCTCAACTTTGGACCAATAAAATTAATCTCAGTACTTTGATATCCTCATCTCTCCAATAAGGATAATAGTTCCAAATCTTTGCACTTTTTTTTAGATTAAAATAATACAAATGAAGTTGTTGGCACTGGGCCTTGCACATATACAGCTTAGCATTAAACTGTACTAGGTACTCTCTGTTATTTTCTGTCTTGATCTTGTCCTCTGGAAAGCTGAATCCAACCACTTGGATATGGCCAGTGTAAGGACTGGGCAAGATGTTACAGGGTAGTGGGGAAGGGAAGTACTTATTTCCCCTATCCACTTTCTTGCTGGGCTTCAATTTTGTCATTAGCTGCACTCTTCTACCTGTAGCCATTGTTTTGGTCCAGTGACCTTCCTCTAGCTAAGAGTTCAGAGTCAAGCTCCTTGGGTCTAGGAATAATCATGGTTTTTCTTCCCACTGTTCCTTTAGGTGTTTTCTCCACACTGTTGTTCCATCATCATTTTTTGGTTCTTGTTTCTTTACAGTCTCTCTAAACTGTCTCTATGAAAATTTCTTCAGTTAAATTCTCTGTATGTGCTATTAGTTGATGCTGAGACTTTGTATAAAATAACAATAAAGACTATTGGGCATAAGTGAGAATTTTGATATTGACAAATAATTAAATATTGAAAGAAGCTAATTCAAGAAATTCTAAATGCACTGGGAAGTTTATTGGGATGGTGGCAGTTTGTACTTGTGATGTGTGCTCAGCTTTGAACTCTGGAGTTTGTTTAGATGGCAGGGACTAGTGGGAAGGAAGGGTGGAGTTCTTTATTACATGCTTAAAACTAGAAGAGCATATCTATAGTGGCAAATAAACAGGATTATGGAGAAAGTAAGGAATTGTGACTAGATATGATAGGCACTTTTATTTAAGAGTCATGGTAGGCGGAATAATACTGGTCTTCTAGAAATGACCATGCCCTAATTCCAGAAACTTGTGAATGGCAAAAGGGCTTTGGAAGATGTGATTAAATTAAGGATTTTGAGATGGGGAATTATTCTGGTATGCTCAGTGTGCATACAGGGATCTCTAGGGAGGCAATAGTGTCATCATCAGAGAAAGAAAAGTGACAATAAAACAGAGCCAGAGGGAAAGGTTTGGAGATGTTACCTTATTTGCTTTGAAGAACAACAAAGGGACCAAGAGTCAAGGGAAGCAGGTGGACTCTAGAATCTGAAAGAAGCAAGGGAACTGATTCTCCCCTAGCTTCTCCTAGAACCTCTAGAATCAGTACCCTGGTAACTTCTTGATTTTAGCCCAGGAAGACTTAAGACCTATAGAATTATAGTAAGTGTTTTAGATTGGAAAATCTGACACCTTGTTACAATACCAAGAGGAAACTGATATGGGGGCAGTAGGAGATAGGATGCTGGATTTTGGCAGTTGAGAATTTTGGATTTTATCTACGGTAACCAGGAACCACCATAGATTTCTGACTAAAAACTCAGATATAATGAAAACAATATATTAGGAGGGTGGATTAGAGTTTGGTTTCAAAAAGCAAACAAGAAAGATAAGCTTTACAGTAGTGTACATGGGTGGGTGTGGCAGTACAACTGCAGATTAAGTGTATACTCTGAATTGATTGGAAGTTTCCAAGTATGAACAATTGATAAGGAAGAGCTGTTATTAGAATATGATGACTAGTGGAGAGGCCAGCAAAAGAAAGGAAAAATTCAAACCTCTGATCCTTAATGTTGTGAAATGGTCATAAACACAGTATATATGAAGTGTCTGCTGAATCAATAGCTATTGAAATTCTAATTTAAATATTTATACACAGAAGAGCTAAGTATTATAATTCAGAAATATCTTGCATTATTTCTGTTAAGTCCCTTCCAAGGATTCATCAAGACATATTATACCACCATATATATGACACTGTAAATCGTTAACCTTTCCCCCTTTTTAAAAGTTTCATTCTTTTTAGAGGAGATGCAAACTTGATTGGATCCTTTCTGTATTAGTAATTACTTATTTGGTAAAATGAAAAACAACTTGAATAGTAAGCTTCAGATTTTCAACAACAACAACAAAATGGAAACAATCTTCAAAAATGGGGATGAAGAAGAATCGTAGGTCAAATATGTGTAGAGGGTAGTGGCGGTAGCTGGTAAATCAACTCCCTTCCCAGCTGTAATGCTGTTCAGAAGCTACCACTGTTTGGATTAGGAGCATTTCCTGATTAGTGGAGAATATTTGGATGAAAAGCCAGTAACTCAGTATTAACTCTCTACACCACCTCACTATGGAAAAAGTTCTGCTTGCTAATAATACATTTCTGAATGATCTTCGCAAAACATTAGCAATACCTGGCCTTCTGAGACAGGGCTTAACTGTCTAACTTGTCCCTCTTTGTAATGTTAAGTGCTAAATTACCAGTACTAACAAGTATGCCAGTTACAAAAACACAGAACCAGTGAATGCCAGTGATATGCTAAAGCCAACCATTTGTTAAGCCATTATTTGGTGATTTTTCTTCCCTAAAGCTGATACCAATACACTTCCACCTATCTGCCTTCCTCCTGACACCATTTCAACTTTCCCTCCTCAACCAGAAACTGGTTTAAAAGTTTTGACCATGGTTTAATCATTTGAAATTCCTTAGAAAATGCTGTGATCAACCTAAATTGGATATAACTTTGCATTCTAGTGTTATTTTAAATCCCCTCCTTAAAATTCATATTATGTAATAATACTATATTTTGCATCTTAAAAATAACTTGTGCTGTGATATTTACAAAATAAATGTTCATTACTCCTCAGTTTCAAAATGTTCCTCCTCTCGGTTGCTGACATAGAAACTTCATTTAGGGACAGGAAACAGTTTTGCCTTGAATACTCTCTTGTTTTTTTGTTTTGTAGCAGAAAAATCTTAAATACTACACAGCAAGAAAATGCAATACTGTTCATTGCTGAACAACCTGAAGATAGGAATTTTGCATAAAAATCAGGCACCTTCTAGTCATCCCCCCAAAACCATTCAACAAAATCCTAAAATACAGTGAAGATTGTAAAACAACTTTAATTTGAAAAGGCAATTCTACTTAAAGTTTAAAGCACTGCCTTACCATTAGTCATGGAGCTGAAAGGGCCTGAAGTTACACCCGAACTAATTTTTATATGAACCAAAATGCAGAAACTCCTATAGGCTAACCTGGCCAGGTTACCTGTAGTGCCTGAAAGTAGACAGGCGCTCCCTCCTGCTCTTTGGCCCACAGCCCTGTGGACCTCCCTCCTGGCTCCAAGCCCCAAGACCCGCGCGCAGGAGATGCTCAGAGGAAAGCAGAGTTGCTCACCGGTGAGGAGCCAGCAGCAGGCGACAGCGACCCCTCGGCTGTCATGGCGCAGGAGGGCCATGGCTGGAGTGGCTGCAGTGCTCGCAGTGCTCCGGGATGAGCTGGTTCAGAGGGCAAGACCTGGCAGGACTGGACTCCGGCGCCGCGCTCTTCTGGCCACTTCGACGGTCTTCTCGGGTCTCACTCGGTGGCCCCAGGCGGCCGCAGCGTCCAAGCGCGGCAGAGGAGTGATTTCCTGTGTTTTCGTCGAATGCCTCTAGGTCAGCTCCACGTTTTTCCCATCCAGACGGATTGCCACATCGCCCGCCCCTTCGCGCTCTTGGGTCTCTGAAATCTCACTGGCAGCGTCCCAGGCTCTGTCCGAGACATGGACAAATAAAGCCAGCTTCGCGGGTCGGTGTTTAGGCTAAAGTCCACAGGCTGCAAAGCAAACCTTAAAGGGACATCTCTTTCATTGAGAAGGGGATCTCGCTCTCTGTGCCAAATCCCTAAGGTGGTAGGAAGGCGGGCAAGGACTGGACCTTTAGAGGGTGTCGCCAGTCCTGTGGCTCCGCCTTCACACTCTTTACTTCTCCCGCGTCTGGGCAGGAAGGGCACTTTCAAAGTGTCCGGGCTCTTCTAGCCTTAAAGGGAGGCTGCTTTCCGGGGTCCGATTGCGCAGAAGAGGCTGCTTTCCGGGGTCCGATTGCGCAGAAGGGGTCATCATCATTTCACTGTCTGTGAAAATGAGCAGATCTGATACCCACTCTCCTTGCCTGCAGACGCTTGAACTTTGCTTTGAAGTCCCAACTACCCGATATGCTCCACTGAGGGCTTTGCTTTTCTTTGTGGAGAGTTTGCTTCCTTTACATGACTCCTTGTTAAAGGGTGGTTGTAGATAAGATTTTCTTTGGAAAGATAATAAGATTGGGAGGTTAGTTGGGGCGGGGGGTGGAGAAAGATGCGGGCAAGAAGGTAGAGGGAGGGAAAGAAAGGGAGGAAAGCAGTTTCCTTAGAAATGGAATGTGTGTGGGCTATTTTGTTTAAGCTGAATTGGGATGTTTGTACACTGGGAATTGAATCTAATAAAAAAAACTCATGTACTGTTTTGTTTTTCTTGCTACAGACTTTAATGAGTAAGTGTGCTTTAAGTCCTGTTCCTGTCAGTCTTCCTGGGAGAGTGGGGCCAAAAGACTTGCCTAGGAGTTTACAAGCTTCCCTTGCACGGTGGATTGAATAACCTCCTTGAGTCAAGAGCCACATTCACATGTTGGTTTCAACAAATACTTGCTGTTTTAAAAGCAGTGTGCCTTAGTGGTTTTGAGAATTCAAAGGTGACAAAAGAATGGATGAGTGGACTTGTGTGTAGAGGTGTTGGAGGGAATCAGTTCAAGTATTTGAATGTCTCTATCAGGGTAGGTCTAGGCAGGACAAGAGTGCCACCCAAAGGAGGGCTCATTGCCTAGAACACAATGCAAGTAACAAAAGCCTGTAGGGGTGTGGGTAAGCCTGCAGGGGTGATTGGATATACTGTTAGAGGAGTGCAGCAAGTAGAAAATGAAGAAGACAAATATTAACAAAATTTAATGAAGGTCAAAAATAGGGTGAGCAGAGAGTCTGAAGACTGTCAAATCTCAGCACCATGACTGTTAGCCAAGGAATTCCTTTTCTAATTGTTGTATTTGAACTAATTCATTACTTAGTAAGTACATTAGAAACCCTATTTCTCCCTAATTTTTTATTTCATAATGACTTTTTCAAAATTCTAGCTTTAAATTTACACAAATAAATCTCTAGAAAAATAGTATTGTATTGGGTCAGAGTTCACTCCTATTATGCATTATTGGGATTCCCTGGCCTGCATTCAGTGTTCTCATATTTTTCCACAGAAAAAATATGTATATATTTCATCTCCCTGTTTATAGTCTCAGTTATATCTTCTGCTTCTCAGTATGATCCATGGGGCCTTGCAAAATAATAAGTATCAATTATAGCTTGGGTACTGAAACATCATAATAAATAATTTCCAACAATATTTCCTGAAATGGTTTGGTTTCAAAAAATACATAATAAAGTATATCTATGTGTGTTTGTGTGTATATACACATATATAGAGAAATGTGTTTATATATGTGTGTAAATGTATATTCATGTGCTTATGTGGCATTCCAGTAAATTGTAACGCATTACATGAGCGAAAAAACAAAAAGTGATATTTTAACATATCATAGAGAAATAACATGGGGTTAAAATATCCTTATAATATGATCAAGGCTATTATCTATTAGAACTTTTCCCTTGGGGTGGGGAGTTAGGATATACTTTCAGTTTAAATATTTGTATTTCCCTTGGACTTAAAAACTTCATGGTCACAACTATTACTACCAGTGATAGTATTAAAATTAATTTCAAATGTGCTATGAGTTTTACAACAATGCTGATTGATATCAAGTAAAACCATTGCAAATGTAGAGAGTGAAAAATAGCTATTGCTGTGTAATTATATTTAGAATAAGTACTCATTTTCAAACCACAATAGCTTTAAATAAAAGCTATGTCAAGCAAACTATTTATTTATTCTGATACAAAGACATTAAGAAAACTAAGAGAAGATAAAATCTTGCATAGTGTCACCAACTAGTAATTGTATAAGTACACTAAATGACAAATGTTAAACTCTAAACTAATACTTTTCTATTTTAAATGAGACCTGATTTGATCAGACTTCTTTCAGGGTTTGGAAGCAAGAGTGAAAATTAATAATACACTAAAAGATAGAAGACATAAGTGGTTAAGAATTTGGAAATTACCAGTCTATGAGTAAGAGTAACTAGTATTATTAGCCAAAAATATTGAAAGGAAAAACACTAAAGTATTCTTGGATTTCATCTAATATACCAAATAGATTATTAGAGTCAGTAAGGTTCTGGAGTCATGCTGCTTGAGTTGAAGCTCTGGAGCCACAATGTGTTAGCTGGGTGATATGGGAAGTCATTTAGTTTCTCTAAGCTTCAGTTTTCTCAAATGAAAAATGGGGATGGAAATAGTAACCTTCTCTAAAGATTGTCATGAGGATTAAATGAGGCTAGCTATAAGCATTTAGCACCATACCTGATTGAAATGAATGCTCAATGGAAAGGAATCATTCTTTCCAGAAGTATTGGTATTAAATGAACAATGGAAATGTAGGGCAGGTGCTGTATGTGAGAGGTCCTCTAGGAACTGAACCAACCTGCTGGCCGTCAGAAAGGGAATTTTAGTGTTTAGCTAAAACAACTCCATCAACTCCTATTATTATTTCTGGAATCCTCAGCTTTAGAATATTTACTTCAGATTATGGAATTATTTTAAAGATATGCCTATAATATTAGCATACATGAAGACATCAGAATCCCATATAACATTAACCAGAATTTACTTTTTAAATTCGATAGCTATCCAAAGGATTTTTTAAGCAGAAGTAAAGATAGTTTAAAACTCTGCCCCGGTGAATGCCTAGATTCTTTGGTAATAAGATCATGGGTCTTAAAGCCACAGGATAGAAAAAGGTACTCCCACATGGAAGGTGTTTAGAAAATATATAAGAAAATCCCAAAATGAAATTTTTAAAAATTTAATATGAGATTTCAAATAAATTTTAAGGTAGCATCAAAGAGTGCTTTTACCCACTCCTCATCCCCTTCACTCTGGGGAGTTAGAGGTAGGTGGGGTTGTCTAGAACTGCTTTTCTCTCTTTCTCTTTTTTTAAGGATATCATAAAGATTATTTAAGATTTTATTCTGCTCAGGGGAATGTACTCCAAGACAGAGACGTGGGCTAATTCATAAGGCTTACCCATTTGGGCAACTTAATTTAATTCAATAATTTTTAAGTTTCTGCTCTATATTGGGTTTTAAGGCTATGCTATCCAGAGGTAAAAATGGGTAGGACAGTGGATCTTATTTTGCCAATCTGCTGTCCACTAATTTCTTTCACTTGTTAATAAGAACAGAACATAATTAGTTTTTTCCTCAATTTTAACATTGGCATGTTTCATTTTAAGTTTATAAAATTAAACAGTCTGAATTAGTTGTTGCTGTTTCAGCTTGGAAACTCATGATTGCTTCCTCTATGACCAAAACAAAGTCACAGTGATGTGGAGCTTGAACTTCACCACTAGCCAACCATTTGTTTTTTGTTATTACGTAATGTTCTTATGTGCATGTTTTTTCACTTAAAATATAAAATAGGTGTTCCTCCCAGCCTATTTCCTGAACACATCTGTGCCAGAAACCTGGTCCAAAGACAGGCAACTGGTTCTTTTTTAAAAAAGGAGGGAGGGAAAGTACTTCAGCTCAGAATCCTGGTGAGGTGCCCTTCTTAACATGGTAGGAAACTTCCCAACTTATTGGCAGACTTCAAAGTGACACATCAGGGTTATAGCAGGGAGGACATACCAGGGTGGTACCTTGGCAGGAATGTTCAATTCGTGGTGCTCTCTGACTCAGAATAACAACCACTGATGAGCAGAAACAATTTAGCTGTACTGCTGGGTCCCCTCATTTGAAATATGAGTTTATGATGTTTTATTATATTATACAGTTAGGTGATTCTAGGTTGATTTACTTATTTTCCTTTAACTAGTTTCTAAAAAGGAAAATAAAGTAGATTGGCTCTAAAAATCCCAGGATTACAATCAGTAGTTGATTAATTAGTATTTGAAACCAAGATTAATGTTTCTTGTAGTAGAATTGGGCCACTAAACACGTATGTGGCAAAATACCCTGTCGTTAATAGAAAATCAATATATCAAAAGAGAAGGAGTCTTTTATTTGGCAGTACATAATTTTATACATTTCTTCAAAGAAAGTATTACATATTTGGCTTTTGTTTGGCTCTGAAATAAGACTTAAATAACTTGTTTTATAATAATTACATGCCTAGTTTTTGTCTGTACTGCTAGACTAAAATCTATACCAAGATAGTCAATTACTCATTTTCATCCACTACAGACTCTGCCCTTATGTATTTCATTCATCCAAACATTTAGTCAAACATTTCCTTCTGTGCAGCAAGAAGTCTCTTAGGACCTGGGGATTAAGAAATGCTCTGGAGGGCTGGGGATTTGGCTCAAGTGGTAGCGCGCTCACCTGGCATGCATGCTGCCCGGGTTTGATCCTCA